TCGCCCCGCCTCGCCCCGCCTCGCCGGGCGCCGCGGGCTATAGGCGGTCCGCCCCCGCCGCACTCTGCCCCCCCTGCCCTGCACTTCGCCGACTCAACGCCCCCGACTGGCACTCATCGCCCCCGGGCTGTGCACGGCCCACTCTACTACTTGTGGCGCCCGCCCCCCTTCCCCTCCCGATGAGGGAAAGGCAGTAGGGTGGGCGCGGGTTGGGCGCGAGCCCCCTAGGGGGTCGCACCGGCATAGCATTCAGAAGCAGAACAATCGGGTTCACTATTGACGGCTCGAGCTGCCCTCGCGGGCTCCCCCGCGGGTTCCCGCCCCTACCTCCCGCGCGGTGGCCGCGGTGGTGGACTGCGCGCTGGTGGCCAGGTCCGAGGCCAGCGCGTACAGCAGCACCAGCACGGCCCAGCACACCGGCCACTTGAAGGCCTTCCGCCGGGCGCGCCGCAGCTGGTGGTACCGGACGGCCGCCGCGCCTGGAACAAACACAACAAGATGTTATTATTACATATTATACAATATTAGTCCTCATTATTTCAAGGCATTCCCAAAGACTATCTCTACCAGAAGGCAAAGCCCCCCCCCTACTTTTCCACGCTCCTTCTCCTGGGTAGAGAGTTGGTAGGCAAGCCAGCCCGCACGCCTGCATGCCGCACAGTATATCCAGAAGGGGACGCGGCTTAAAACACTCATCCTGTTTTGGGGCAGTTTCGTATACTGGTCGAGGGAGGGGGCTGTCTTTTTAACGGCTGTACGGCCACCGTTTTGTATTTTTCTTTAGAGAGGAGACGACGACGACAAGGACGGCGCCGCGCAGCCCGAGCGATGTGAAAATTCTTTTACGTCGTCGTTGCTGCCTCGGCGCGCGCAGATTGATCGCCCCGTCGTCATCGCCAACAAGAAGCGCACGGTGCTCGCCGCCACCTACACTACTTCATCATAATTAATCATATACACCTCCCCCCCACCCCCTCCTCCAAGCTGCTAGACACCATCCCTCCGCCTCCCCTCTCCCGCGTGACATGCAGAGAGAATCAAGGTCGGCGCCCGGTGGAAAAGGGGAGGGGGGATGGGGGGGGAGATGGGGAGGCGCGGAGGGGATAAATCCGCATCGAAACCCGCCGCGGAGCGAACCGAAGCGGCCCTGAAAAAAAAACCTAAGGGCAGGTGAGGGCGGGGATAGAGGAGATAGAAGCAGAGGGAGAGAGGAAAAGAGAGTGGGAGAGCAGAGAGAATCCGCTAATCCCAACGAACAGGCAATGGGAGGGGAGCGGGGAGACCTGCACAGCTACACAGAGGGGAGCTGCCGTTCTAGAGCAGCGGGGAGCGCCGCTTCTTTCGGACCCTTATCACAGCAGCACAACAAATGAGCAGTACCAGCAGTACAGGAGCACCGGCGCACGGCGGAGACGGCGGCCGGCTCCTCTTTCCCACTAGGAAACCCAAAACCCGTACATGACTGAAATAGCTGAAAATAATGCTGCCACCTGAACCGATAGCTGCCCCCTGTATTCCGTCTCTTCCCTCCCCCTGCAGCCCGATGTCGGGAAGAGGCGGAGGGATGGGGCAAGCCGGGGGTATGCTTCTGCTCCTGAGCGGCCAGGGTCGGAGGTGTGGCTTTGCCGTATCCCCCCCCCCTCAATCCAAGCCACACGCCCCCTTCTCTCGGCCCGCTCCTCCTCCCCTTCATTTTCACGCAGGCAGCGTGCGAGGCTCATCAGATGAGACTGGTCGTGTGGGTGTGTGAGTGTGTGTGTGTGGCTATGTGTGTCTGTGTGGCACTTGCCGGCGGCCTCTCCATACCCCCCAAACCCACCCGCCCTAGTTCAAACATTATACCGCCACGGTGCCCCGACTCGAGCGCTCTGTTCGGTTTTGCTCCGGCCCCCGCCGCCCCCGCTGCTCCC